GTAGTTCGTGCGCAGCTGCGCCAGCACGAAGCGCAATAATGACACCGGCATAAACCCCGAATAGCAACCGCTGCCTGAGACACAAATCAATACCACGCGAGCCAACGTGATCTTCCAGTGACCATGAGTGGGCCCCGGTCCAACAACACCTCTCCGCGTGACTCCACAAATGTCTTAAGTTTTTCTTCGGGCTCCGCGCCTGCAGTCTCCGATCACAGGCAAACAGGTGGGGAGACAAGTCAAGCAAGGCAAGGCAGCGGCGGCAGACTAAACGCCGATGACGCAGTGAAGAGACAAGGCAGGAGTGGCAGCGGTGGACCAAAGCGCAGATCAGCCACCCAGTCATTGAGAAGTAAGAACCGCTATAGCTTTCAGCTATCTGGTGAAAAATTGTGATTGCTCCCTGCTGGAAAAAGGTGTTGATTCTGCAGATTCAATACGCCGCTTTTTCAGCAGGCCTGGCACAGCTGAAGTGTGAGGCACACTCTCCGCTTACACCTTTCAGGAAGTACCCCAGCTCAAAGTATTTATATTCGAGTAAGAACCCCAGGGGGGTAACATACATACCTTGTTTTCGGAGGTTAGTAGGTATCTAGCAGGCATCCCCTGCCTCCCCCCACAACTAGGTATGTATGTATGTATGTATGGTCCAAAGGTACATACCTCAAAACCAGGGGTATGTATGTGTCTGGGGAACATACTTACCTAGAAAATGAGAGGTATGTATGGTATGTATGTATGTTTGGGGAAACATACATACCGAGACAAGAAGAGGTATGTATGTATGTATGTATGTATGTATGTATGTATGTATGCATGGTCCAAAGGTACATACCTTCAAAGCATACCCAGTATGTATGTATGTCCGGGGAAACATACATACCTAGAAAGTGACAGGAATGTCTGGTATGTATGTATGTCTGGGGAAACATACATACCTAGACAAGAAGAGGTATGTATGTATGTATGTATGCATGGTCCAAACGTACATACATCAAAAGCACGGGTATGTATGTTTCTGGGAGACATAGAAGAGTCATACATACCCAGTATGTATGTATGTCCGGGGAAACATACATACCTAGAAAATTAGAGGTATGTATGGTATGTATGTATGTTTGGGGGAGCATACATACCTAGAAAAGAAGAGGTATGTATGTATGTATGCATGGTCCAAACGCACATACCTCAAAAGCACGGGTATGTTCGTTTCTCGGATACATAGAAGAGTCGTACATACCCAGTATGTATGTATGTCCGGCGGGGAAACATACATACCTAGAAAATAAGAGGTATGTATGGTATGTATGGATGTCTGGGGAAAGATATATACCTAGAAAAGAAGAGGCATGTATGTATGTATGTATGTATGTATTGTCCGAACGTACAGACCTCAAAAGCACGGGTATGAGTGTTCCTCGGAGACATAGCATCAGGTAAAAAGCGAGGTCTGTGTGTTTCGCAGGGCTCCCAGTTTGAGGTATGTATGTTTCCCAGGAAGATACATACGCGTGAGTGTCTCGGTATGCATGTTTCCCACAAACATACATACTCATTATTATCCAGGTATGTCTGTGTCCCACAAACATATATACCTAGGACTTGGAGGTATGTACGTGGTCTGAGAAACATACATACCCGTGAGATTGAAATATGTATGGTTCGCAGAAACATACCTACCCACAATATTCCGGTATGTATGTTTCCCATGTAGATACAGACCGTTAGTTGTTTAATGTATATCCGTTCCCAGAAACACACACCGAGGAGGTATGGGTATGTCGGCCAAACAGAGATTACCTTCAAGTATGTATTTTCCCTGCAACAATCATGCCCTTGACCTTGAAGGCAGTATAAGGAGGAAGAGAGATATGTGGCATTCTCGGGATGTGCGTATACATGAACGTGGACTGTCTCACACAATGAAGCATGCTCCTCTCCGTGACCTTCCCCCCCCCCAAGGCAGGTATGTATGTACGTATGTATGTATGCGTGCGTGCGTGTATGTCTGCGAGGGCCCGTGACCATGGAGGGGGCATTGAAGTATGTCTGTATGAATGGATGTAAGTCTCATGGTGTTTGGCGCATGGGTATTAGACATGTGTATGACGTCATGTATGTATGTGTGGGGAAACATACATCGCTAGAAAATGACAGGTATGTATGTCTGTTATTGGTATGTATGTATGAGACATACGTTGCACAGTCGTCGACGTGCGAAGGGGCGCGCTCCGCACCCCCTCCCGCGATTTATGAGTGACACCCCTCACCGCTGCTGCATGTTCGTGACGAAACAGATACACCGAGAAAATTACACGTGTGCATGACGCATGGCTATTAGACATGTGTATGACGTCATGTATGTATGTGTGGGGACACATACATCGCTAGAAAAAATGACAGGTATGTATGTCTGCGTGTGTATGACGCATGGGTATTAAACGTGTGTATGACGTCATGTTTGTATGTGTGGGGAAACATAGATCGCTAGAAAATGACAGGTATGTATGTCTGTTATTGGTATGTATGTATGTCTGGGGAAACATACATACCTAGAAAATTAGAGGTATGTATGTATGTTAAAGATATATATGTATGTCTGGGGAAACAGACATACCTAGAAAAAAAAGGTATGTATGTATGTCTGGGGGAACATACGAACCTAGAAACTAGAGGTATGTATGTATGTATGTTAAGGGTATGTATGCATGTCTGGGGTAACATACATACCTTGTTTTCGGAGGTTACTAGGTATCTAGCAGGCATCCCCTGCCTCCCCCCCCCCATCTAGGTATGTATGTATGTATGTATCTTCCAAAATTATAGGTATGTATGTCTGGGGAAACATACATACCTAGAAACTACAGGTATGTATGTATGTTAAAGGTATGTATGTATGTCTGGGAAAACATACATACCTAGAAAATTATAGGTATGTATGTATGTCTGGGGAAACATACATACCTAGAAACTATAGGTATGTATGTATGTTAAAGGTATGTATGTGCGTCTGGGGAAACATATAGTTTCTAGATATGTATGTCTGGGGAAACATACATACCTAGAAATTTTTAGGTATGTATGTATGTCTGGGGAAACATAAATACCTAGAAACTATTGGTATGTATGTATGATAAAGGTATGTATGTGTGTCTGGGGAAACATACATACCTAGAAAATTGTAGGTATGTATGTATGTCTGGGGAAACATACTTGAGGCCGAGGGTAGGTGACGAAAGCTAGCAGGGGTGCATCCGGACTGGTGGGACATCAAGCGGAGTGAGGCAAATGCTCATGAGGTAAAACGTTGTGAACATGTAAGACACACAAACAGCAATGACACAGCCAACCTTCGAATTGAAGTCCCCGACAATTAAGGAAGCGTGGCTGGACTTTGCCACACTGTTCGATGCATCCGATGTGTTCACGAACCTGTGAGCTTGTTGAATCTGTTGCACCGTATCCCAAAACCTCCACGGAGGAGTTGAACCAGTGATGCCATAAAAGGTGCCCAAGAGGTGTCCCAGAGGCAAAACAAAGCTGCTTGCATGATTTGTTTGGTTTCTTCTATCGATGTCGATGTCATGAACATGTGAGCTTGTTGAATCTGTTGCACCGCATCCCAGAGGAGTTAAGCCAAAGTGGATGCCATAAGAGATGCCCGAGAGGTGTCCCAGAGGCGTCCGAGGGGGGAGTTGAACCCACGGGGGGG